GCGTGCACCTGTAGTCCCAGCTACTCAGGAGGCTGAGGCAGAATTGCCTGAACCTGGGAGGTGGAGGTTGCAGTGAGCCAAGATTGTGCCACTACACTCCAGCCTGGCGCCTGGCGACAGAGTGAGACTCTGTCTCAAAAAAAAAAGAAAAAAAAAAAAAAAAAAAAAAGAGAGAGAGAGAGAGATCAAATAGGTTGTAATTTCCACAGCTTGTATCTCGAATTTTTGTAATGGGTTTTCTATTAATTTCTGGACAAAGAACAATATGATATGGCTAAAAATGGTAAGAAACTAACAAGAACAATAAAAAGCCGACAGCAACAATTGCAAAATTCAAATCTGCCAAATAACTTGTCTTCTCATGATCAATTACTTAAATTTCTTATCTATGAAATGGAAGCAATGTTTGCAACTCAATGTTATATCCCCAAAGCAGTAATTACAAAGTTACTACATGTTTATTTTGTTTTCTATTTTGTATTATTTTGAAACGTTATGAATTATTAACATCATTAACACCTAGTTTGGAAATAACAAACTTGACATATTTTCAAAATATGCTATCCCTTTGCTCTCTAAAAGAAAAATACAGTCTGAGTTTCAAGCTATATGATTTTTTTTCATAAAATATGTATAAATGAATTTATATGCATGCACTAAATTCTTTGGGAAGGAAGACCCATATCTAAACTATTTTCAGAATTTACCTACAATATTATCTAAAATAAAGCCACTCTGCTTATGGAATCAAATTTCCTTTGGGAAAAAAAAGCCTTTAAAATATAATTTATATAAGCATTTATAACTGTGGTACCTACAGAGGTTGGAGATAATAGAAACTCTTGGTACCGAAAGCCACAATTTTCTATTGTTTGTAGCAAGAGATCTCTGAAAAGAAAAAAAAAAAAAGAAACTTTCATCCTTTACTAGGAAAGGCAGTTCTTATTTAAATAATGTACACAAAAACCTCATTTTATTTTATTTTTTTTTTGAGACCTCGCTCTGTTGCCCAGGCTGGAGTGCAATTCCGTGATCTCAGCTCACTGCAATCTCCACCTCCTGGGTTCAAGCATTTCTCTGCCTCAGACTCCCAAGTAGCTGGAATTACAGGCACCCACCACCTCTCCTGGCTAATTTTTTGTATTTTTCGTAGAGACAGGGTTTCACCATCTTGGCCAGGCTGGTCTTGACCTCCTGACCTCATGATCCACCTACCTTGGCCTCTCAAAGTGCTGGAATTACAGGCTTGAGCCACTGCACCTGGCCCAAAAAACCTCATTTTAAGTGAAAACTGTAACTTCACTTGTTTATAAAGGCAATGACCCTACGTTTTTTACTAAGTTAAATATTTGAGAAATAACATTTAATCAAAACATATAGATAATTCTTTATTACAAATAAATAAAGCTGACAGATAAGAAAACTATCCAAATTGATGAAAGTTAGAATTGCTAATCTAGTGATGATATATCTGCCATAGGAACTAGAACTTTATCTTCAAGGTAGCAAGTCAGATGGGAGCACTGTTACAGACAGCAGCTGATTCAAGGACTCAGGGAGATGCTTTCTCTCCAGCTGAGCTACCATCTGAAAGAACTCCGACACAGGGATTCTAACTGCATCCAACTGCAGGGTAGAAAATTTTTGTCAACAGAACCAATCCTTACTGAAAACATTTCTACCTCTACAGAAATAAGCACCAATATAAATGACTAAAATTGAGAAATGCCATTTTTACTAAGCATTTACTCTATACAAATTCAAAAATATCAAAATAGAAGAGAATCAGTTGAACAGAACTTTAAATTACATTACATTATTAGTCAAAATAAATGCTGATGAATAAGAGATATAACACGTAAAACGTCAGAATGTATGCACTGGTTTTTAAAATTTCTATTTCACAACAGTTCCTACTATAAGACATATGAAGTCTAAGTGTATGCAAGACAAATACATTTTTTTACCTTGTCGAAGATACTTCAAAACCTTTAACATTTTCCAAAAGAATATACTTTGGTAATCTTTGTAATCTAAAAAAAAATAAAAAATGGAATTCTAAATATCTCATTACTAAAAAGAAAAAGTAAAGAAAACCATTACTTGTAGGAAATATGATGTAAGTCATTCTCTGAACTCTTTGTAAAATGGAATTTTATAAGGCTGGAGACAATTTATATTTTAATCATTTTTCCCTTAAACATGGCACACTTGATAAAGTTAACATTTGAAATGTTAATTTCCATTGAAGCTTATCTCAAAACATGGATTCACACAGAGCGTCTGTGCTGCACAACTGAAAGGGCTGCTACTCACATAGAAGGGTGGCTTTAAGGGTTAGCACATATTTCCAGGCCATGGGTAATAGCATTCACTAACATCAGCACCATCTGCATCAACACTATGAGCAGAGGCAGTAGAATCTAGCTATTAGGCTATGATTCCCTGTCACTCACTGTGGTGGCAAGCGTGGAACTGTGAAACATTTGCAGTTATTCTATTAGTCATGGTAGGAGAAGATAAATGACATGCACAGTATCTCAAGGGAACATGTATAAATGGCTCTCCTCTATAAAATGACAAACACCACATTCTTCCAGACCTGGAGTTTTAAATTAAAGGTAAGCTTATACAGAAACCTAAGTTTTTACCTTGGGAGAATATCTAGAATATATAAGAAGCTATTTGTCCTTGAATCAGTCACATCTCCCTGCCGGCCAATCCTAAAGGATTAAAAGAAACACAAAAAGTTTATCAAGAATCTGATATAAAGATGTTAAATCATTTTTTAAAAGTCAAAACAGAATAAAAATAAGTTGGCCCTCACAAAAAATAGAATCATCTTTGTTGTTATAGAGAAAAAAATACATTTTTTCACTTAGAAAGAAAAAAGTGTTCAGGCTTAGATTACACCTGTAATCCCAGCACTTTGGCAGGTGAGGCAGGTGAGGCAGGTGGATCACTTGAGGCCAAGAATTTGGGACCAGCCTGGCTGACACGGTGAAACCTTGTCTCTACTAAAAATACAAAAATCAGGCCAGGCGTGGTGGCTCACACCAGTAATCCCAGCACTTCGGAAGGCTGAGGTGGGCAGATCACTTGAGCCTCCCAGGAGTTCCAGACCAGCCTGGCCAACATGGCGAAGCTCCATCTCTACTAAAAATACAAAAATTAGCCAGGCATGGTGGGACACACCTGTAATCCCAGCTAAAGAGGCTGAGGCACAAGAATTACTTAAACCTGGAAGGCAGAGGTTAAAAAGAAAAAAAACCTTGCATATCTAATAAGTATGCTTTAAATTTATCTTTACAAACAACATGACAAATGACTTAACATTAATCAAAAAAGAACAAGACGTCAATGTGGAACAAAACCAACTACCCTCTTAAAATCACTTTGTTTAGGAAAACACACACATATACATACACATGTGCTGGCTGACTACACTTTTTGCTCTCCCCTTGGTGATATAACGAGAGTTCATATGAACGAGCTGCTGAATGGGGTGGCAACCTGGAGCTGTTGGCACTGGTGGCCAATTTGAGCAAATCAAAATAACACAATTTTGTCCAACATAAACAGGAGAAACTTAAGCTGAAGGCTAGATTCTAAAAGCAGGAGGTGCAACTTGGTTAGACTAACTAGGGTCAAAACAAGTCATGTAAACAGGCAGTACTTAGGCTAGCAAAATAGATCCTACAAGTGAGATCCACAACATGACCAGATAAAGCAGTAATGAAGACTTGGATTGAGCCTGAGCAGCAGGAACAGAGGACCAGGGCTCAAAAGCACGCTATTTATCTTCAGGGTCTTAAATAAGTTACTTGGCATCACTGATCAATTTCCTCATATCTGATGGCAGGAGCAAAACCATCAGTGGACCAGAGGCTCAGCTACGGGATTAGACTGGACGTGAACAGACTTCTCAGAAATCTCCAGTTCTTCTTCTTCTGTCCCTTTCCTGTCAGACTTTCACATGAAGACTACAGAACTAGTTACTCCTGCCATCAGCAGCTGCAGCTGTGCTAAAACAAGGTAAAGCGGGGAGTAAGAAAGCTAATGGGGCCCACTGCAGTATGACCTGAGGCTTCACAGCATTGGAGCTGCATTCCGCTGTGTTTATCCTGTTCACTGGGCTCCACAGGCCACACCGTTGCACATGCCAGAGCCACCCTGAGATGGAATGGCCTCTGTCTGCTCTGATAAACTCCTAATCTACTTTCAGACACAATTCAGACATCACCTCTGAATGAACTCCCTTCTCTTGGTATGCAGCAAGCCCTTTTGTCCTCTGTACTCTTGTGGCATTTTCAGCATTCTTTTATTACATAGCTTAAATCACATTGTAAGATAATTATTTGTCAGCCATTCCCATTAGACTATAAGCTCCCAAAGGACAGGAACTACAACATCAAAAATAATGCTTGGCTTGTAGGTTAACAATGAATCCTTGGAGAATTCATTTCCTAGATAATTGTTTGCATAAATCCAAACCTAGAAAAAAATTCAGCATTAGAATATTCATTCAATTAGACTGCTTATTACATATAATATTCTACTTCAAATCATGGAATATATAAAATGATTGACAAATCTTGGCTCTAACATTCTTTAATTATATGTCCTTGAGAAAGTTAACCTTTCTATGCCTCAGTTTCTCATCTGTAAAATAATTATAACAGCAATGCCTGCCCCCTATCCTATAAGCTTGTTAAATGATATACTCCATGTAAGACACTTAGAGGAGTACTACTGCTATTATCATTTAAAATAATTCAAAATACTATTATTAAAAATATCTAAATGAAGATGAATTAGTCAAGATTTGGTTGAAGATATAATTTCCCAAAACACATAGCCAAATATATATACACACACACACATATACATATACATACACATACACACATATATATATAATTTTTTAAATGAAGAGATTATAATGTGGCTATAAGAAGTCAGAATTATTCAATGTAAATATGAATTTTAAGAAATGTAAAGTTCACAAATGCATGCTTAACTAGCTTTTAAATTGTACAATTAAATAATTTAGGACTTGAACATGTATTTTGGAAAGTCACTTTGCTTAATCAGTATTAGAAAGATATTCCTGAATGCTCATTAGTTTAAATGAATTAAGGTAATTTGGGCTGGAAATAAACATTATGTCTTAGATAAGTATAAAAGACGTACCCTACAGTCTTGCATATCCACTTTTGACCAAATTAATTTGCTCATTTGGCAGCAATCACTATTTCCTTTATGATTAATGCTTAATTATAATTATAAATGGAGTCTGGAAATGGTGGTTATACCTGTAATCCCAGCACACTGAAGGTCGAGGTGGGAGGATAGCTTGAGCCTAGGACTTTGAGGCCAGCCATGGCAACATAGTGAGACCCCCATCTCTACAAAAAAATTTAAAAATCAGCTGGGTGTGGCGGTGTGCACCTTTAGTCCCAGCTACTCAGGAGGCTGAGGCAGGAGGATTGCTTGAACCTGGGAGATAGAGGCTGCAGGGAGTTGTGAACATACCACTGCACTGCAGCCTGGGTGACAGCAAAACCCTGTCCCAATAATAATAATAATAATAATAATTTTAAAACAAAAAATAAATATAAGTAGATAAAAGAATTTATGAAAAAATTTCCAAACTATGAAAATGCAGCTGATAAAGTTCAAAGTGTCCATGCTTGAAACTATGATTTGATTTAATGAGTCCTTCAAAAGCACTCTTTCTCAACACTTGATATGGGTTGGCTGTTTCCCCATTCAAATCTCATTTTGAATTCCCATGGACCTGGTCGGAGGTAACTGTATCACGGGGGCAGGTCTCTGCTGTGCTGTTCTTGTGATAGTGAATAAGTCTCATGAGATCTGATGGTTCTATGAAGGGCAGTTTCCCTGCACAACCTCTCTCTCTTTACCTGCTGCCCTTGACTTGTTCCTCCTTGCCTTTCCCCATGATTGTGAGGCTTCCCTAGCCACTGGAACTGTAAGTCTAGTAAACCTCTTTCTTGTGTAAATTGCCCAGTCTTGGGTATGTCTTTATCAGCAGCATGAAAATGGATAATACAACACTGAAATATTTCTGATACATACCTTGTGAATGGCTGGCACGGAGGGCTCATTAAAATCATATCAAAAGATAATCTGTCAAACTCTTGGAGTGTAATGCCCTGAGGAATGAACATTTGAGGGGAAAAAGAACATAAAAATATGGATAGAATGGGGAAGAAGGAAACACTAAGAATAACTACATATAACAGATATTGAAACAGTTTATAATACAATGCTTGTCAAATCAACTTTGGTTAACTAACTTCTCAAAGCAATCCTGTGAAGGAAGGGAGCAATAAACTGAAGCTGTAGGAAATTAAGGGAATTTCCAAAGTCCCAGCACCAGTCCAAGCAGAGCTGAAATGGTAGTTTCCTGGATCCTAAGCACATCCGGCCTGTATTATGCCTCAAGCGTAATACTGCTGTTTTCTTGAGCAAAACATGAAAACCTTATTTTATAATCGACAATTTTCATGGGATAGGGTCTAGGAAATTTTTAACCACCTACCCGTCAATAACGTTTTTTATTTAGCAAACGTGATATGCAGACCAGTCACTATCCCTTTCATATATGTCTGTTAATATATTGACAAATGAAAAAGGGCCTCATTCTCAGATAGCCACAATTATTTTGTTTTGCAGTTGTGTGCAATGAACTTCAAAAGACTGTTGACAAGATGAATCAAAAGAATCCCTAACGGGCTAAGTAGTTGAAAACAATGCTATGTTGCTCCCTTCTATATCTCAGAAGACAAACACAGACACACACAGGTCAGGGGTTTGCCAACTCACATTAAGCACTCTTAGTGCACATCTTCAGACAGAAACTGAAAGAAATCAGCCCAGAATCAAAACCTTCCTAATTATAGCTCACTTCTAAGAAGCTCAAGCACATGAATAAAGCAGGAAAAGCATTACTCTGAATTCTGTAAAGAGGGAGTTAATGTGAGAACATGTCAGTTGTCTCCATTGTATTAAAAGTTTGAATGTGCATGTCTATCAGTTTTTGATCATAGAATTTTAAATAAAGATGTATCTGTTAAAATGAAATCAAAATTAGATATTGAAAATTTACTATAGCACTTCTAGACTACCCAGTGCTAAGGAAAGCAATCTGAAAATCCTACACTTAGCAGTCTGCCAGAACACACGCAGTAGGCTATTAGACAGCATATCACATTCAAGTTCAACAGCCTGTACATACAGGGCCATTATGATAAGCTACTGGATGGGGAATGGTAACAGCTAAATTCCTAAAAATAAAGTAAAAATAAAACAATAATCTCTCATAGCAGTTAATCCAGGGGCATCCTATGTCTAGAATCGAAAGAAAGCAAACAGAGTCAATGTCTTTAACATAGCTAGCCATTAAAAAAATTACAGCTTTAATGGATTCTGAAATTAGTGATTTTTTAATAGCCAAATGATAAGGCAGTTAGGCAAAAATTTATCACTAAATTGAACCAAGCACCACTTCTTTAACCTGGCATTCTAGAGCAATGAAAAATGTATTTGAATCAACCCAAGCTGGAAAATACGCTTCAGGATATTATTCAGGAAAACTTTCCCAACCTAGCAAGGCAGGACAATATTCAACTCCAGGAAATACAGAGAACACCACAAAAATATTCCTCAAGAAGACCAACCGCAAGGCACATAATCGCCAGATTCATCTGGGTTGAAATGAAAGAGAAAATACTGAGGGCAGCCAGAGAGAAAGGTCGGGTTACCCATAAAGGGAAGCCTAACAGACTCACAGCAGATCTCTCAGTAGAAACCCTACAAGCCAGAAGAGAGTGGGGGCCAATATTCAACATCCTTAAAGAAAAAAACTTTCAACCCAGAATTTTACATCCAGCCAAACTAAGCTTCATAAGCGAAGGAAAAATAAAATCTTTTGTGAATAAGCAAGCACTCGGAGATTTCATCACCACCAGGCCTGCTTTACAAGAGCTTCTGAAAGAACCACTACAAATAGAAAGAAACAACCAGTATCAGCCTTTCTAAAAAATACCAAAAAATAAAGAACATCAACATAATTAAGAAATTGCATCAACTAATGGGCAAAACAGCCAGCTAACATTAAATGACAGTATCAAACACACATATATTGTTATTAATTCTAAATTTAAATCGACTAAATCCCCCAATCCAAAGACACAGACAGGTAAAAAAAGCCAAGACCCATTGGTATGCTACATCCAGATCCATCTCACATGGAAGGACACATAAAGACTCAAAACAAAGGGATGGTGAAAAATTTACCAACCAAATGGAGAGCTAAAATAAATAAATAGAAAGCAGGAGTTGCAATTTTTGCTGATAAAATAGATTTCAAAGCAAATAAAGATCAAAAGAAGCAAAGAAGGATATTACATAAAGATAAAAGGATCAATGTAACAAGAAGAGCTAAAGATCCTAAACATATATGCACCCAATACAGAAATACCCAGATATATAAGACCTACAAAGAGACTTGGACCCCCACACAATAATAGCGGGAGACTTCAACATCAATATTAGATAGATCAATGAGACAGAATGTCAACATCGATATCCAGGACTTAAACTCAGATCTGGAACAAGTAGACTTAATTAACATTCATAGAACTCTCCACTTTAAATACACAAAATATACACTCTTATCAGTACTACATCACACGTATTTACAGGTTTAAATGAAATATTGGTTGGCTGCTTGTTAATTATTTTCTTCCCTCATTTTTTTTATTTTTTTTTTTTTATGTCTCTATTATTAAACACAATTACAGGCATACCCAGTTTTAGACTGCATTCTAGCCCGGGCAATAAAGCAACACCCCTGTTCTCTCTCCCTCTTCCTCTTCCTCTTTCTTCCTTTCCTTTATTCTTTTTCTTTCTTTTTTTTTTTTTTTTTTTTTTTTTTTTT